AAATAAGTGGAATTTACAGTAAGGTGTATAAAAAACCAACCTACTAATAACATTTTTTGATATTATATACGTATAAATCGAATTAGCCAATGCTTTGTGTCATGTAGGGCGAATACAAACATTTTTATCAATCGAGAGATTTTTGGCTAAAAACGTGGAACATGGCTCTTTTTTGGGGCTCTACTATTTTTAGATCGATCAATAAGTGTGTCGAAAGGTTTTACCGAATTTATATAAATGTGTACCTATATATCGTTTATTCATTATTATATTATTCCGAAGCATTGAATCGCCGTAGGCAGTCTGATGTTGTGATTGGAAAGTAAGACACGTAATAGCAGAATGCATTGCCTCTAATCTATATCTATATACTTCTATACTAATATTATAAAGAGGAAAGATTTGATTGTTTGTATTGAATAGGTTCCGAAACTACTGGACAGATTTTAAAAATTGTTTTACCATTAGAAGCCGACATTATCATTGATGAATATAGGCTAATTTAAAAAGGGAATTGATGACCCAGGGGAGGTGCTCAAACTTGAATTTTGAGATTTACGATAGAAATTTGTGTTTAAAAATAGTTGCCATGGGTTTTAAAGCTATTATAATAATAAATAACAAATATTGGTTGTTGTTTATTGAAAATGGTGGCTATTGCATATTGATCATAGGAGAAATAGTTAGTAGAATATGTCCGTAATGCCTACGTAATGTACGACTGTTATCGGCATCATGGCGGCGTGTGTATAAACAATACATTACATTACTGTTTAGTTTTTTTTCTCATTTTAAAATGCCCAAAAGAACAAGATCTAATATTGAATATTATTTTATTTTGTTTTATTTTATTGAGGTCAATTCGCTCTAATTTTTAAACTAACAGAGCTAAACGTGTTCTGCTGGTCGCAGTGGCGGTGGTGGTTTGGGTTAGATGCGTCAGGCGCGGGCGCTCCGATGGTTCCAGTTAACACCCGTATTCGGCCCACCCGTGGCTCAGACTTTAAACGATAAAAATACTCTGCCTACTTTTGGTTAGAAAAAAAAATACAACACACTATCCTCAACTTATAGACTCATTCCCTAATTCGCCTAACAAGTAGTCCGCACTCCGCGCCCAGACGAGCGGTCGTCCGTGCCCCTGCTTTAGCGTTTCAAAGACATAGCTCACCTCTGCTGCACATACAACCATCATCTATATGTGGTTCCACCTCCTAGCATACCCAACGTGGTGCTAATGCAGCGTAGGTTATAGAGAACAAAACCATACATGTTGCCCTGCATTAAACGAAACCGCTTGGAAACACTCAGATATATGATAAACTGTAGCAGTTGACACGTGAGGACCGACGTCCATGACAATATGATAACTTGTGGGGCTGTCTGCTTAGCTGAGCTGGGCAAATCGATCTAGGGAATCGAGTACTAGAAGTATATAGAAGTGAGGCGCCCGCGGGCGGTCCGGGGTCCGGGACTTGCCTCAAACACTCACGCAACGTATGCTTCTCGGCCGCTGCCGAGAACACTTGCATGACCTCGGTGGCTGAAATATATAATGGGAACTTCTGGTTGTCAAAACTGGGACAAAATACGAAATCTATGATATAATAGTTGTTATAGAGAAATTATATTGATATGTTCTTGTAAAAAAGCCGGTTTAATCGAGTTCTTGTGGTGAAAAGTAATGTGCATATCTACAGTATTGTGAGCGTTTTCACTATCCCTATCGGAAGTATCGATTAAATTAATATTCATGTGCAAATTTACCAGCACGACGAAGATTCTTCGCTAACATAATACCTATAATATCTACATTATTAACACCTAGGTAGAACCTATACTCGTCTATCCTATTTAATTGTAATGTTGTATTTCTCATCTTCTCTCAGATGAGATCATTAACACGATCCAACAGGATGAATGTCCACCATTTGGACACATCGACAACAGCTTTAACGTAACGGTGTTGGGCACTACAGCGCCGAAAATAGGCGGATGTGCTTTTATGGCACCAAGAAACCTGCGTTGGAGACCATCGTTTAACTTGTGGCTGGGCAGTCCTGAAACAGGCGGCGGAAAGTGCGGAGATAAAAGTAAGTACAACAAATCTTTATTATTACAACACGATGGTGATGGATGAGGGTTCTTCGCCGAGTCCTTTGCTTCAAGAAAGCACTATATTAAATAGTATAATATATTATAATCGATATTTTTCGTGTAAAATTAAAAACGTGCAAAATAAATAACAGATATAGATAAATAGATTGCCTACCTGATAATATTCTGCTGCGAATATCACGAGATAACGCTGGTCTAGATTTCTATACATTAAAATATAATATCATTTACGCATAAAAAGATATTGCTTATATATCATATTACACCTAAAGGGAGTTAAAAAATAATCAGAATTGTTTTTTCGGGTAACGGGAAAGTTAAAGAGCCTCTTAACTGCCGTAATTTCACCTGAAAAGACCTAAAGCATTCACGAAATTAAAGTTAGTTTACAGTGTCCAGTTTCTGATTCTAAAAAAAAGTCTTAACTCACCAGAAAATTGTATATAGATCCTACAAAGTGCTTTGTAAAAACTAAATTTTATATAATTTTGAACTGTAATTGAAAACTTGAAAATATGAACGTTTTCGAATCATAAGTAGTATTAAAAACGGAAAAAGTTTCGCACGACCTACAGACATTTTTCTGCTGAATTCAAATATTTTTTCAGAATCAAAATCAGACAACGTTAACCAACTTTCATTTTGTCAAAAAAATGTAGGTTTTTGTAAAATTCGTTTGTGAAATTTACATGGTTATCGAGTTATTGACATGTGCTCGCGCGTACGAGAGAGGATACCGCATTTAATTTCACTCACACTAATTATCATTTATAGCTAACGCAAAGATCCCGGACGGCTATGACAAGATTAGAAATTGCCTAAATATCGCCCCTTAAATAACGACCGTAGCGAGGCCCCTTAAGATAAGATTTAAAGTTTTACACTAGTCTGCATACAGTTCAATTACTTTTAATATAAAAAAAAAACGTAGCTTAATAGATGGACATGAATTGTGGAGCCACGAAATAGCCCCACAATATGCAAACAACCATCCACCAATCTTTAAATAATAATCAAATCTTTTTTGGTTGAAACAGATTACATTTATAAATTACAGATATACCTTTTAGGTTTACCTAAAGCTAACCTATATCCTATATAGGTAACTCTAAAAAGTGTTAACATATGTTGGTCGTGGTTTTAGGCTACTTACATATTTTAACAACACATCTACCTTACTATTATGTAATATGTATAGTAGTAGCATTTATTATAATAAGTATTTATTCTGAAAGCAGATTAACAAAACGTGCTTTGGTGGAAACAATTTGTACCTTCTGATTCAGGATGTATAGATATACATATTTTATATTGATTATTTTAATTTTTTAAATAAATTAATTTTGTTATCTCAACTTTATACGCTTCTATAGCTAACTGTATACGTTAGTGAGTACAATTTCTACTAATATTAACAAATCCATTCAAATACAATTGACTTATAGCAAAATGTTTGCGAAATGTCGGGAAAGTACATAAAACCTCCCGAATTGAGTCCTGACTCCGCGTACGGGGTACCCACCTAACCATCTGTAAGATAAGTGTCGACAGCGCTCCCAGTGTTAATCTTCCCAATAATCAATGGTTGACATTTGCAGTATAATATAGTATAGTGTTTTATAGTAACTATTAAGTATTTACTATGTAGTACTTTCTTATTAATTACCAGACTTAATAATTTCCCTGTAGATTTTCCTAAAGTCATGTCTCATAAGAACCTTTTTCTGACAATTACAAACACAACAAAAAAAGAATAAGCCGAATCGGTCTAGTAGTTTCGATGCCAACCCGTGACAAAGATTTGTATTTCGCTTTTATAAAATACTAGCTGAAACCCGCGTGCTCCGCCCCCCTTTATGGTTGTTTGCAAATTGTGGGGCTGTTTCGTCGCCCGACAAATCCTGTCTATTTTTTTTATGAAGAGCAATTGAACTGTATGAAGAGTAGTGTAAAACTCTTATATACATCTCATAATGTAATATTATCTCTCGGCAACATTTGTGGTTTTGCCAAGGTCAGATTTTCTCTTTACGGACATTATTCTCTACTCGTATAAATTTTGTAGAATAAACAATACATTTCGACCAAAAAACATAAAATATTCAAAATTAACATCTAAAACTATAACAGTCGTTATCAGTAGCAACCTTACAATAAACAAAAATATATTATTACTATGTTCATTTTTCTCATGGACAGATTAAACCACTTCTAAATTTTTGACATCCAAATTTCCTACTTTTCCTTTAGATTTTCCTAAATTTTTCTATCATAACATCCTGGTCCTGACAATTAGAAACATAACAAAAAAATAATCAGCCAATTCTGCCAAGCTGTTTCGGAGACAACCCGTGACACAAAATGTTGACTTGCTTTTATAGTATAGATAAATATTTTATTATGCACCTAGTACATTTCAAATATTTTTTTTTTTGCTTTAATATACAAACACTTAGACAATGGGTAGTGATATAACAATTGTTTAGTACCTAATTAGGATACCTAATGTAATATAAATTTTATAATAGGACTCATATTGAAGCAATTGATTGAACATTAAAAGATCTTAGGTGTAAAAATACGCCTATGGGTGGTATAACATTTGTTTTCGCTGGTGATTTCCGTCAAACCTTAACCCGTGACACAAAATCTGTTCTTGCTTTTATAGTATGGATAATAAATCATCCCGGTATAATTTTATAAACATCCGAATGTAAAATGTATGACGTATTCGTATGTAAACGTACACACAAAATGAACGCTAAATATTACGTCGTAATGTGTCAACAAAAATACTGTTTCAATAAATATCAATTATTAAAAATAGGTAAACTATTATAATCATCATTTTCGTGTAATTTTCTGTTCATGAACTAACAGATATGGACCACTACATATTTGAGTGTGAGGAAAGAACACCGTTTATCTCCAAGCACCTCACACTATATGGCTGGCGTTCATATTTATACTCCGATACATGGAGAGGAGAACCAGACTTCAGATGTGCTGTGAGTATACTATGTTTACGCATACATATTCTATAAAATATTATATTATATATGATTTCCTAATCAACAACTTATCCATAATTGCCTCTAAAAAAAAAATATATATATAGGTACCTATTTCACGGGAAAATAGTTACAATAACTATAGTTTTCGTAGATCACTGATCGTTGTTTATCGTTATTTTTAAACTTTTATCACTTGTTGTTTAACTATCATCTTATTACAGTGAATACCGAAGTCACAACGACGTCGATGGTTGGGAATATGGTTAAGTCTCGGAGTACTTATAATTATAATATACTACCTAGCTGATCCCGTGCACTACGTTGCCCGTTAAATGTACCAACTCTATTTGACTCAAACTGCATTCAATTCATTATTTAATATATATAGTATATGGTGTTCAAAATTTATCTTAACTTCTCTGTAGCTCATAATAAAAATCCTGATCCGCAATTGTCTATTATCAGGTAGGTAAGATCAGCGGTATAGGTACCCGATGCTGTTTGTACATAAACGTATGGTTTAACTCTAAAGTATCAAAAATACCAAGTTTGTCGTTTTTACTTAATTCTACCTATGGTGGATTAATATAATCAATCAATACAAAATCCTGACTTAAACTAACCATACTAAAATCTGTTAATTAAAAAAAAAAAAAAACAAAATTTAAGATTTTTTAAATTTTTCTATATTTTCTTCACGGAGGATCTACCCACAAACATTCATATATATACATATATTTATTGACAAAAAAAAATAATACAAATAAACAAAAAAGGCAAAATTAACTTGCAGCAACCAATATATAATAAACTGTTATTATTTTAATCTGAGACAATAAAATATATTTCTTTTTATTTCTTTTTTTATTTTTAGTTTATTTCTTTTTTGGACCCATGGTGAAAATCGTGTATTTTGGCATCCGGGTTTCCTACTTTTCCGATAAATTTTCCTAAAATTTTCTTTTATAGAAACCTTCTCCGTGATATACTCTTTTGTTTAAAAAAAAAATCAGAAGATTGATAAGTAATTCCAGAGTTTACCCTGTACAAAGATTTTCATTTCACATTTATATAGGTAGTTAGATATACATAGATATTTAACGTTATGTTCGATTAATCTATTTCTTTCTTTTTCTGTTCACCTTACTTCAGTTTTACAAAACGGTTAGTGAAGACCCACCAATGTTCAAGATGGTGATTAGTGGGTGGAACTCGTGCGATGGTCTATTGAAGAGAATGGAACAATCTGAGCAAGCGGTTCCCGAGGGGTCCCGATTGTCCGCCGATGGAACGATATCTCTTCTTTTTAGTAGAGACTTCCCAGTAGTGCCAATGTGGAGTCCATCGAAGAGAATGGAACAATCCGATAAAGCGGATCCCAAGGGGTTCCGACGTATAACCGATGGATCGATAACTCTTATTATTGAAAACTTCCGACAAAGGCTCATTCCTGGACCGTCACTCATAATTTGAATAAGATTTGTACGAATCAATGCAGATATTGTTACACTAATACATTTATTTTTATCAAAAATTAATCACAAATCTTTGTTAAATTTACTGCTTCTATTTCGTTCTGTGCACAATAATCCATAAATGTATCCATTCGAAAGGTAAAAGGACGTTTGGCCCTCGTCCATTATTAAGATAGGACATTTGGCCCTCGGTATTAATCAATATATTTAAATGACTTTTTTAAAATTTAAAATTAAATTATTCTTAAAAAACGTACATCTTCAATATAATATTTATATTAATAAGTATGAAATTTAAATTGGATTTTACAAATCAAAAAACATTCTAAGAACAACTACTTCACAAATAGTCCGGTGTGTCACCTACCAACAACTTGTAATAAAATTGCTAATTTTGATTTTTTTATTCGATTCCTGCTCTAAGCTAAAAACTTGTATTTATAATTTAATATTAGTGTTTAATTTGTTCTCAGTTTTTTCAACTATTGTCTTCATGTGTTAAATTAACGATACTTTTAGTCTTTCAATGCTGCACCCTTGGGGTTTTAGTGTTTTGGATTTATTAATTTATTTATTTAATAAATATTATACCTATTATTATTGAAACTAATAACTTTTTTCAAAATATTATTTTTGGGAACTTGCTAGAATGTGAAATTACCAATTTTGTTTGATTTGTTCGGTGACAAAGGCGACCACGACGACAACATTAACTCCCGGATACCAAATATCCTATCTTAATAATAGACGGGGACGAAACAGCGGGGGTGATTCATTGGAAACATATCCGGTAGCCAGTGTTCGGACTTATCTAGATAAATGTATCTAGATATTTTTTTGCTCATCTTTTATCTTATCTAGATAAATTGTTACAAGGTATCTAAACGGTCATCTTAGATATTTTTTTTACTAATCTAAATGAATTCATCTAGATAGATTTTCTATTGATAAAAATCGCGAAATTAAGCAAACGGATTTTTAATTTTTATTAATTTTAACGGTTTTTGTTATTTCATTAACAAATAATAATAATTTTTACATAATTATAATAAAAAATACATGAAACATTTAATATGGTTGGCTTTATCATACTATCATTATTATAGTTATTTAATTATGGTATAATATAATATAGCTAGGTATTAGCTATAATGCTGTAGACTGTATGGCAACAGTAAATAGAATAATAAAATAAAAACTAAATTGTTTGGTCAGATTATTTTAAATCCATTAAAAAAAAAAAAATTGTATCTTTTTTTATATCTAGTTAAAAAAGTATTTATCCTTATCTTTATCTAGATACAAAAATACTTATCTAATCCGAACACTGCCCGTAGCAGTGTATGGACATGTTACAAGATCAACCATACAAGGTCAAGATTAATATTGTCTGTACATAATATAGTGTAGTAAACAAGTTACTACGTAACAATAAAACCAAATTCCACAGGTGCATAATTATTATAATAGACGGTAGACCGGCATAGTCGGGCATTAAGAATGGAAATGGGTCCTTCAAACCTAAGGAGACAGGCTCACTGAATAACTCAGGATAATAGGGTCAAAATAGGCGGTTGTCATAATTGACAGAAATACTGGACGCATCAGTGATACGTTTTTAGTAAGCCAGTTACTTATTATTATAATATACGATGGACCGGCATAACCAGATATTAAGGAAATTAGGATTCAGAAATAGGTGGTTGTAACATTTTACAGGGAAAGCACTGAGTGCACACGGTGAAGTTCAAACGGAAAAGAGTAAAATGATTATTTTTATTATCTAGTAATGTAGTAATTTAATAAATTAGTAATCATATTTTGGTAATGCATTCAGTCGTAAATGCGTAGGCTGGAATAATGATCACACAAATCACATCCGTGAGAACCGAGATATCGTATATGTAGGCAAGGGGTACGAGGAACCTCATATAAAAGGGAGCCCGAATCGGCCTGTATTCAGACGTCTACTACCACCCATTAGTGCAAGCACCTTCACGCCACTCTGTACGACAATATTTGAACTTAGAAAATTTATCGAAGTATAACAATAAACTCACAATATTATATTATACAACAACTGTTCTCTTATTTTATTACCACCCACGACTATAACAACTGAAGAAGTGTCTGCGACCTGCAACTTTAACGTTTTGTAAGCCACTTATCTGCTATTAACACTACAGTAGTAGGTACCGAGCTCTCAGATCGTTACAATAGTGTAAACGCGTATTATTAAACTTCTCATATTATAATATCTACGGAGGTGGTTATTGGAATTTGGAAACGATAAAAACATTCCTAAGGGCTACAACTATTGTATATATATGGCATATATACATAGGCCGTTGTCGATAACAATATAATATATATATACCTACCTAATCCCATACCATACATAGGTATATCGTGTATAATATGTATTTCGTTTGTGCCTTATTTTTTTTGGTAGTGAACATTGTATTTTCCTCGTTACACATACGTTGTATTAACCATTTCTTAATATTTACGACTACTAACAAAATGATACGGCGTCGTTAATGTGCTATTAAAGCCATAGTAGATGATTAGATGAGTCACTTGAATGGAATTGTCTACTGCTGCAGAGGTGCCCTCTAATAACTAAACAAACAATAAAATCATAAAATAATGTCAATACAAAATGTTGTTTAATTTACATTTCAAAATGTATACGGTAGATAATAAGTATATGTTATACATTTATATTTTATAATATTATATAAAATATAAATGGAGTCCATGTGTATAAATGTATAAAACAAAGATTTTCCTACGTTAGTGTTAGTTCAAACAATCAAAGAAATATATTCTCATATATAAATGTGTGATTTCTATAAATTATAAAGTTATGATAGGGACTATAATATATTATGTGTCAGTTGTGGGACCAGAACTTTTTATAAATAATTATTCAGATATCATTATAATTATTAATTATCATTATAATAAATTGTAGTTACAGTCAGTCGTAAGGAAGAGTAGTGGAAGATAAATTATAAATATACCTTATTTTATACTGGATCATTATTATAATATATATCGGTGGCAGAGTGAATAGCTAAATGAAAAGCCAATGCAAAAGTGGAATGGTATACCAATCACCAATGACTCCAGTCTCCAAGACTTTAGATTTAGACGGCTAGACCAGCTTATAAATTATAATTTATACTCGCATAGTCACATATGACCTGAGTTTAAAATACGTTAAAAGATAAGTGTAAAATGTGAAAAATTGGTGTGCTAGTACTTATAGGTATTTAAGGTATAGTTCCTTCATAGGAAAAAAAATGTCACGCCGCCCCTGATACATTAATACATTAAAGTATTAAGGAATAAGGAGTAATATTTTATACCGAATTTCTTTTTCAAATTAGTTTGATTAATATTATTTATACTAATTGTGATAGTATGGGCTATAATATAGTTTATATGTTTAATGGCGGCTATGGCGCAATAAATGTCGAATGAATGTGGCTATATTAATGAGATACGGATAATAATTATGAGTTCATCAAATATTATGATAATGCGTAAAACTACTTAGTACTTATCGTTATATGGATGTTGATTGATATACATTATTTTTTTTAATTATCTCTAAGCTTATAAAAAAAAAAAAAATGGGTACATCATTATTCATTATAAATGCAAAAAAATATTTACGATTCTATTGAAAATAATATTTTTTTCGTCGATAACAGTACCGAGTAATCTCGATTCTCGGTAGGTCAATACTTAGTAAACCCTACGTTCCTACAATATATGTAGTGAAAATCAATTTGTAATCTAACTCGATAGCGGTTTTAATGGTAGAAGGTGTGATTATTATATTTTTGAATCCGAAATAAAAAGTAGATCATTTTCCTCAACAGTAATAATATTGCCGTATCTATACCAGAGACTGGAACCAAACCTAAAAGAAGCAGTTCTGGAACCGGAATCTATAAAATATTAATAACCAGAACCGGAACAGAAATCTTTATTGTAATAAATAAAGTACCGGAACCGTACAGGAATTTTAAAATTGTAAATGATTTGTTCCTTTTAAAATACTCATAACTCGCTGAAAACTAAAATAAATAAAAAATACCACAAGATTACCTAGATAACAATCTTACTATTAAATTTTATGAGTGGTCAATTCGCTCTAATTTTTAAACTAACAGAGCTAAACGTGTTCTGCTGGTCGCAGTGGCGACGGTGGTTTGGGTTAGATGCGTCAGGTGCGGGCAACGGGCAACTGATGGTTCCAGATAACAGCCGTATTCGGCCCACCCGTGGCTCAGACTTTAAACGATAAAAATACCCTTGGGGTCCGGGACTTGCCTCAAACACTCGCGCAACGTATGCCTCTCGGCCGGTGCCGAGAACACTTGCATGACCTCGGTGGCTGAAGTATATAATGGGAACTTCCGGTTGTCAAAACTGGGACAAAATACGAAATCTATGATATAATAGTTGTTATAGAGAAATCATATTGATATGTTCTTGTAAAAAAGCCGGTTTAATCGAGTTCTTGTGGTGAAAAGTAATGTGCATATCTACAGTATTGTGAGCGCGTTCACTATCCCTATCGGAAGTATCGATTAAAATATTCATGTGCAATTTTACCAGCACGACGAAGATTCTTCGCTGACATAATACCTATAATATCTACATTATTAACACCTAGGTAGAACCTATACTCGTCTATCCTATTTAATTTTAATGTTGTATTTCTCATCTTCTCTCAGTAGAGATGTTTAGCACGTACCTCCTGGATGAATGTCCAGTATATATAATATGTATGTAATATGATTATCAGCTATCATTATTTATTATATTGTTGCCACTATACATTACTTTTCAGTTCTTTAGAAAAAAAACACAATTTTTCAATTTTTCATGAAAAAAACCATTTTTTTCGTCAAAACCATTTTTTCCGGAAATTTTAATGAAACCAATTTTTCCGAAAAAAACGGGAAAAAACCCGGTTTTTTCGGAAATTTTGATCCCTACAGTTTATAGTTATAACAATTGTATATCAATTGTAAGAAACAATGTCCTAACCCGTCAAATGTATAAACATAATAATATCAAAAATATAGTGCAAACGCATTAAATGCACAGCCCTGTTTACCACATTTTTCAATATTTATTACGAATTTATCGCGAAAACGATTTCCAATAAATCATGATTTACGCTGCTGATTAAGTAATAAAAAGATTGTTATTATGCTTACAAAATTATTTTTTTTATTTTCATGCAATCATGAATTATTTATAAATTTAAATAATCTTATTTGTGATCAATGGTAGTGGGTAGAATGTAGAATACGTAACTTAGATTTACGTAGGTATATAAGTAATTACTTCGATCTTTTCTACTTTATTCAATTATAATATTTTCTACTTTTGAAGTATTCCTATACATTTAAATTACCTATTTTATTATGTTACCTATTATATTACAATGGTAAATTATATTCCAGTTTGAAATATACATTTTACAATGGTGTTTATTTTTTTTTTTTTTTTTATATCCTGTATACAAAATTTCTACCAGAAGGAGTGCTTTGATTTCAACATATAGTACCTTATCTTTTAGCAAATTGGACCAAGATGGTACTTTAGAGAGGTCATTTTTTGATTTTCTCAATAGTTATATAATGCCACGGGAAAAATTACGAAAAACCATTTAAAATCGGATTTTAATTTCTAACGCTTTGTTTATCACCATAGAAACGAATAAAAAATTATAATATTAATTCAACTTACATGATATAATAAATAATAACTATATAAAATATCCAGACTGACAAACCGTCTCAGCTCAGAATCGTTTTTCTTGTACAATGATATTATATCATTGAATTCAAGTTTAATACAATCCATTATACAATGACCCACTTGTAACCTACTATACAGCAGAGCGACATCCACTTACCGGCTTTTTTTTTATCTTCAAAATATTTGGGGAATTAATCCTTTTTTTTTGTTAAAATTAAAAAAAAATCAACTTTATAATTTAGGTGGGCCTCAGTGCGCTATTTAGGAGGGGGCCCCGTTGGAATTTTCCGACTAAACGACCGCTATATCCGCCACTGCTCTTAACTGCCGTCAATTTTAGCTGAAAAGACCTAAAGTATTCACAAAATTAAAGTTAGTTGACAGTGTCAGATTTTGATTCTAAAAAAAAGTCTCAACTCACCAGAAAATTGTATATAGATCCTACAAAGCACTTTGTAAAAACTAAATTTTATATTATTGTGAACTGTAATTGAAAACTTGAAAATATGAACGTTTTTGAATCATAAGCATTACCGTATCTCTCCAAGAACCTCACACTATATGGTTGGCGTTCATATTTATACTCCGATACATGGGCAGGAAAACCAGACTTCAGATGTGCTGTGAGTATACTATGTTTACGCATACATATTCTATAAAATATTATATTATATATGATTTCTTATGAAAACCAATTTTATTAATAAACTTGGTGAGTAGAGGAGCGCATGCAAACAACGACGCGCATTCTTAAGCCGGATTCACAGCTACGTCGTGTGTCGTGTCATGCGATTGCTTTTTTATTATGTTTACAGCTGCTAACCAATATTGTTTAAAAATTGAGCTGTAGTAAATTATTGATATACTAGGTTGAAACTTGGTTATTACATGATACCAAAAAAGTAATGCCCAATCACAATACGATTTGATCTGCACGACACGACACGACACACGGCGAAGCTTTGAATCGGTGAAACTTTATACACAAACCCGATTTCATTTAACGTGGTTGACTGGTGATATGTCACATATTATTGATGTACTTCGATAATTTGTTATCAAATTACTATTTTGTGCTTTCGGAGAGCTCAAAATGTCTACTCTGAAAATTAAAAACGATTAATAGTTCTAATGGGCTTATATTATTTTTCATCGCAGAATTTATTATTGATATCGCTAGCAAACAATACCTCTGCCCAAACTACTCCTGGCTTCTCCCTCAACTTTACTCGACTAAAAACATATTGTAAACCAAATTAAATTAATAAGTCTAAAATGTAATTGTATTGTTATGGTCGATTAATCTATTTCTTTCTTTTTCTGTTCACCTTACTTCAGTTTTACAAAACGGTTAGTGAAGACCCACCAATGTTCAAGATGGTGATTAGTGGGAGGAACTCGTGCGATGGTCTATTGAAGAGAATGGAACAATCTGAGCAAGCGGTTCCCGAGGGGTCCCTGTTGTCCGCCGATGGAACGATATCTCTTCTTTTTAGTAGAGACTTCCCAGTAGTGCCCATGTGGAGTCCATCGAAGAGAATGGAACAATCCGAGGAAGCGGTTCCCGAGGTGTTCCGACATATCACCGATGGATCGATAACTCTTATTTTTGAAAACTTCCGAAAAAAGCCCCTAGACTTTTTTATTTATTTTTTATGATTTCATTTTTAAAACAATAGTAATAGTGGACACGAAATCAAACTTATTATTTCACATAATTATTATATTATTATTATTATTATTATTATTTTATTTTATTTGTGTTTTACATATTAATAAATAATACATAACTTTTTTTAAATAATACAAAATGTTTTTTTTATTTTTTGCCTGACATGAAATATACATATAGTTAAATGACTAGGCATTTAACTTAATGTCTAGGCGGATAGTGGAATTGCATAAACATTAAATTCTTTGGCTATATGCCTAGGCATTTAATAAAATGCCTGATTTGACTATATGCCTACTACATTCATACCACTTTCCTGCGTTCGACTTAGTCATACCGCACCATAGTTCCAAACCAGATTTCTTATAGCGACCGGCCCGCTTGCCGCAAAGTGGGATGAAACACAAATTTAGCGTGCCAAAAGTACTATTTTTTAAACTAAAAATGTATTGGTTTTTTTTATCAAAAATTTATCGTTACAATATTCTGATGCTTAAACCAGAATTTCAAAAGAATTAATTAACATACACCCGACTTACAGCTGTTAGTATAAAATATATACATTATTTGATTGATATTTTCAAATTGTTATACCTTTTTATATTATTTAATTTTTACACTTCAACGATAAAAATATAATTTTATTTTACACAGTTATTACATTCTATAACTACATGTAGCAACGACATATTATTTTTTTATTTTAATTTTTTTTTTTTAGTAATTGCTTTATTATGTTGACATTTTAAGTTTTTTAGTGGTTTTTGAACTTTTGAGGAGTAATACTGAAATTTACGCAATTGTACCAACTATTCAATACATACATATTGTAAAGGAAATTGATAGCTGTTTGAAAATATAAACATTTTTTGCATTGAGTTTCAACAGAAATTTACAAAAAAGTATTCTTTATAAATATGACGTATTACTGTAAAAACCATGCTTTTCTCACTTGAAACGAAAAACATTTATTTTTTATTTATTCAATTGTTATATAATTGTCCTAAATGTAATAATGAAATATTATTTATTTATTTTCATACATCTTTTTTATTTGTATTTGCTATATTATGTTGTTTAAATATTAAGTGTTTTAATGGTTTTAGAACTTTGGAGAAATGATACTGACATTTACGCAATTTTACTAACTATTCAATACATACATATTGCAAAGGAAAATGTTAATAATTTAAAAATATAAACCTGATGAAGACGAAGAAAGTGACATAAATCAATCCTTTTCAGAAATCAGTTTTACTGATTAATTAAACAATATGGTAGGTACCTACCTATGTGCAATGATTTACCTCCGTAGAATATATTTTTTAAAAGTATTAATTTTAAATGGTTAATTTGGTTCTTTAATTCCTTATTTTTAATTCCTTCTTTATTTCCCTATTGTGTTTTTATATTTTATTTTTTATTTTTTTTTATAATTTTTTTTTTTATTTTTGTGTCTGTGTACACGATAAGTAGTCGAAATAATGCTTCGATTTTCGACTTCAGTATCTTGTTCGATTGGAAAGTTGGTGCATTGGGGAGGTCAAAATTTAAATTTCCCAGTAGTTTTCAAAAGCGCCGGGAAAAACAAAAGAAAAATTAAGGAAAAACGGGAATTTTTACGCAAAATCTGTTTTTGAGAAAATCAATTTTGGTTTTTGGTGTACCTTTAAAACAAATGACCGTAGATACATGAAATTTTCAGTGGTTGTTTATATTTGCATTTTCTATATACGATAACATTTTCAAAATATTTTGATTTATTTTGAACTGTTTAGGGACATTTTCATTTTTCATTTTTTTTTTAGTTTTTTTTCTAGAAATATAAATAAAATTGCATTTGTTGGTTAAAAAAAACTTGAAAATTTAATAGAAGGCTCCTAGTATATTGTTTTAAAGGCAGATGAAAAATATTAAAAATCCTTATTCACAGTTTTTTTTTATAAGCATTTAAAGTTCAAAAATTGACAAAATATGGAAAAATCACGAAAATTAGCAAATTATTTTGAGTTAAGAATTCGTAAAAATTTTTCTTTTTAAATCTAAGATTTGAAAATGTAATACAAGATTACTCATAAGTTTGTCTAACTTTATCAACAAAAAAATCCCTACCGGACAGTCAAATTAAATTTTTATGAGCGTTTGAAGTTCAAATTTTTACAACATTGGATGTTCACTCGATTTCTCATGTAGCGATTTCCTTATTTTGTTGTTATTCCTAAACGAATAACTATAGATACATGAAAATTTAACTGAATGTTTATATTAGCATTTCCTATACACCATACAATTTTGAAAATATTTTGACTCTTTTTGAGCTGTTTACGGATATTTTCATTTTTCAATTTTTTTAGTTTTTTTTTCTATGAATATCAATAAAGTTTTATCTGTTGGGCCAAAAAGTGTAAAAATTTAATTCAAGGCTCCTGATATATTGTTACAATATCAGTTGAAAAATATTAAAAATACATAGGCACATTTTTTTTTATAAGCATTTAAAGTTTAAACATCGAATTTTGACAGAATTTTTCAAAATCTCGAAAATTATTAATCATCGTAATTAATAAATTATAAGATGTTCAGTTTTTATAGCTAAGGATTACAAATTCAACACAAAGGTTCTCATAAATAGTTCATACTGTAACCAAAAAATCTAAAAAATATATGAACACACTTATTTTGTACAGACATTTTAAATTCAAATTTGGACGAAATTACATATTAAAAAACCTAGAATAACTATTTTAGTTACTTTGGTGTGATTGAATAATATTATTCGTGGACATTTGAAACTTCTAAAGTGTACTATTATTTATCTATGATAGTATCACGGTTTTTGTTGATGTATAACGCGTTATAAGTACCTAATGGATATTGTGATATGATTAATTTGGAATTTATTATAGGTACCTACCTATTATAGCCTATAGGTCAAATGTTGGTTTAGTACCTATGTCTATACCTAGACTGACATACCGTCTCCGCTCAGAATCGTTTTTCTTATACAATGATATTATTATATCGTTGAATTCAAATTTAATATCATCCATTATACAGTGACGCACTTGTAACCTACTGTACAGCAGAGCGACACCCACTTGCCCACCTTTTTTTACTTTGAATGTGTATATTTATTGAAAAACAAGAATTAATTTAAAGTTAAGAGTCGATTGAGTACCAAAAACGTATTTTTGAAAATAGTACTTACATTATATTGTCACTGTATATGATATGAATATCGGTTGAAAAAGATGTTTTTATATGACAATTGTTTAATCTAAATATTAAGTATAAATAGTAAATACATCAAGTTGATAATGTAATACGATTTTGGTCCAATGCCTGTATCAAGTTAATACATTAAATTACTTTTTTTTCATCAAGAAAAGAAAATTAAATTTGAAATAAACAATTAGTTTAATTAAAGTCATAGAAATAAAAAACTAATTTGATTACAACATTAAAATGAGTAACCAAAACCAAACTTACTTATATGTTTGTATTTACACATGTACTTATAAATTATTAATTGCAATTATTATTCACGAACAATATTAATAACATTATACCTAGTAGAGGTTTACAGTCTTTGGTATTATTATTGAACAATTAAGTATCTAAGTATACCTTCAGCTAATAATGAAAATTTATTTTTTTCAATTTTTAAATTATGTTCGCATTCTTGAATTTCATGTTTTATAACTACTGAACTTAGAGTGTTTCTCATGGATTGATTAAGGGTACCAAATGTGTCATAATACTTGAAAACCAACTTCCCATCAGCATAATTGTTTAATATTGTTGAGACATAATCTTTTGATTGTGGATTCTACAATATATTATTTAAAAAACAAAAGTAAGTATTAAAATAATATTACTACAACAGCTTTGAAGATTAACCAGTGGCTTGCAAGTTTATCTCATGATTTGCATTAAGCTTATTGAATTACTAATACATGATTGCTAGCCACTATTTTATTTACAAAATATATTTTAAAAAAATATTATTATTGACTAAATTCCAGCTATAGCTGGAACACTGGTTATAACCAGTGTATGATAAGAAAAAAATAACAGGAAGGACATAATTGAATACAAAATAAAGCTTACTATGACCTATATACCTATATCAGACTATTGAAAGTGTTAAAATTATTATGTTTAAGACTAAGAGTGATAACCCTTCTTTAGTGACACACTGAATAATAAATTAGTATTACATCAAACATCATAGTGGAATGGTGTCAATCAGATGAAGTGTAAGCTACGATAATTCAAAAAAATAATTAGTACTCAATAATTTCCCTATGTATCACTTTTCTCAAGTCATGCACTGGCTATAACAAGTTTCTACCTCTTCAGACTGAACTGCATGTATATATGTAATTTGGTTTTTGTCTGTTATTATGCTTCTTTCTAAATATTAAACAAATTATAAAAATAGGTGATAAATATGTGTTTATTATTAAAATATAAGAAATTGAAAGAATTTAGTGGTAACATATACCAGAGCTGTCAGTAATAATACTAATTGAGTCTAGATCCTTTGATGTTCCTTCAGGAAACAAGTTTTCATGAGAAAACAAATCTGTACTAGCAAAAGGTTCTTGTATTTCAATTACCATCTGACTTATGTCTTCATCGTAAGTTACTAAAAATTTAATACAAATTTAATTTGAAAAATAAAATACTAATTTGAATGTATAATAAATAACAAAAAATTTAACACCATACCATCTTTCTGTGGTTGTAATTTAGAAATGTGAGTTATCTCTTCCAAAAATCCCTTATGGAGAATATATAATTAAGCACAACATAGAATGAAATTTGTAAATGTGAGAATTTCATCATTTGTAAATTCACGCAATTACATAGGTAGTACATTGAATCACAATCAAATTAACAACATATAATAAACCAGATATTTCATCAAAATTATTCAACTCACTTGACTTGTCTTTTTATATTCTTTCAGCTTACTAAAAAA